TATATACTGTACATATAACATATTCATATTTTTCTGAATATTTTTATTGACAACATAAGCAAACAAAAGATTTAATGTTTGTTTCAGCTTATTACAGCCACAAAACAATATTCACATTTCTGCACATTAAGTTGTCCAGCTCGATAAGGGAAGGATCTCTGCATTTCGTTTACTACAGTATCCCACTGACATATACTAGGCATGAAAAGAGAAAAACGCTGGATGCCAGTCATGTAAAGTCCAGATAAAACTTTATTTAGAGTCTGGATTCATAAAAGTCCAACACACTTTGTGACTGCTGTTTTGGCTCTTTCCTCCTTGCATGCCTAGTTTTACCAGGGTTCCTAGCTGATCCTTAGCTGCTGCTCCTTAAAAGAGACTATTTCTGCTACACTGAAGAAGATTTAATCAGAATCACTGAACAAAACCCACGGTCCAGTGCTGCACACCTTCCTCCTACCTTCCACTGGCATATACATCAGATCAGGGGCGTAACTAGAAATCACTGGGCCCCATAGCAAAATTTTGTATGGGGCCCCATAATTGCTAGTTATGCCACTTGCAGATCCCACCTGAGAGTGACCCTGCAGAGCCCACCATAGACTCTCTATAGTAGCCTCTGCAGGGCTTCACACCTCTTACCTGTCAGCGCTGTCCGCCTCCGTGGTCGCCGGGACCCCGCCTCCTCTTCCGTCCCTGGGCACGCCTCCTCTTCTATTGACGGGCCCCGCCTCCTCTTACATCACTGGCCCCACCTGCTCTTAGGTCGCTGGCCAGTGATGTAAGAGGAGGCGGGGTTGCTCCGCCTCCTCCTTCACTGCGAACGCTGGCCTCTTCTGCCGTAGCTTACATGCCATAGTAAGCCAGGCGGCCCACACGGCATCAGAGGAATGCCCTGGCCAGGCTCACTTGTGCCCAGGCCCCATAGCGGCCGCCTGGGTCGCTATGGCGATTGTTACCCTACTGCATCAGATGATGGTCTGGTTAGGGTGTATGTCTATAGGGGCAGACAGGTCTGAACATAATTCCTAGTGTGCCCCAGCAGCAACTCAGGATACAGTCCGTTTACCCATCGCACTCAGAGCCGCTGCTCCAAAAATGGAAGGTGGTGCAGCAGGTGTCAGCGAGTGGCTTCCGACAAAATATAAGCAAAGCATGGACACCGGCACTCCAAAGCAAGTTCAGTACGTGTTTATTAATGTACTAGTTGCAAAACACTCTAAACAACGTTTAGGGGTCTCACAGGATCCCCTTCATCCAGCAGCAACTGTCCCTCATTTGTACAAAACCCACCTGATTTCAATAATATACAACATATATACAAAAAATGGACTACAAGAGACTTTGCAAGACTGACAGTTACAGGCATGACTCCCAGAGGCATGTTGGGATTTGTAGTTAAAGCACAGCTGGTGGACCGGGATTGCCCACTCCTGCCCTAGGCAATTAATTAGGGATGAACCAAGTACTTGTGAAAATGCCCTGATACTAAATGTCGATACTGGAGCTTAAAATTTTTTAAGTGAAGCAGCTGTCTGCGGTCCTGCGCTTACTGAGGACCTCAGCAGCCTCCCTGTGAACTGCCGCGCCTATTTACAGCACTGGCCCCACATCTCCTCCTCCTTACTGAGGAACCCCACCACCCACAAGACCCTCCGGACCCCTGGTAAGAGCCTGCATAGCCCACCTGAAACCACGAACAACCCTCCTGAGATACCGCACAGCCCATCTGAGACCATGCACAGCCCCCCTGAGACCCCAAAGAGCCCTCCTGGGACCTAGCACAGCCATCCCGAGACCCGCACAGTCCACTTGAGACCCTGCACAGCCCTCCTGAGACTCTAGAGACATTAGACCGCCACCCCGGAGAAACACAGAGTATGAAGAAAAACTGCCACATGACATTGGTATTGGCGAGTACATGCGGAACAGTATCGATACTTGCACTTGGTCTTCTATTTTTAAGCATGTATTTATTTATTAAGTTTCACAGAATACATCGCATTTGACATTTTACATATCACGTATATTGTTTTATTGTCATGTAACCAGCCGGCTACATGATTTACGTGCACTTGGTCTTGAAAAAATGGTGTCGGTGCATTCCTACAATTCATCTTTGCAGTGTGTAGGGGGCAAAGCTTTTGATTCCTCGGAGTTCAGCTTTAAGATAATGGATTTGAATTCTAACAATTGTAACCCTTTCCTGACCATAATATACTATACCAACCACAATTTGTATAGTAGCATTTTGGGTGCTAACAGAACATTAATCAACATTCCATTTTTTAACCAGAAGCATGCACCTGTTACTGACAGCTGCCCGTCCCATACTATCAGAAACCAATCAGTGTGGTTCCTAATAATATGATCACAATGACAACCAAAATACTACATGCAATAAACTGTTGAAAATAAGGCATCTTAATTAAGTTAAAACATATAATAATATTATGTGTAAAAAAATAATAATAATAAATTAGAAAATCAATGAGTAAGGAATTTATTAAAACAGTGTCCCAAAAAAATAAAAACAGAATTAAAGCTTTACTGTAGATAGTATGTCCTTAATAAACAATGTATACAATATTTAGGTAGGCAAATGAGTCATAGAGTTAATGTCGTGCTGACCAACACGTACAGCTTAATTTGGCCTGTGAATTCTGGTCGTGAAAGGGTTAAACTTGGTTCCTGATGAATAGATGGTGTTACTGTAATTCTGTTTTGGGAGTATAATTTGCCAGTAACGGGTTTTGTTAGCAGAAGGGGCAATGGTTGTGGTTTGCAACTCACACACCCCAGTCTGGTTTTTCCCTGCCAGCTCAAACTGAGTGAAATTAGGGCAAAAAAAAATCCTTTCAAGACCAGAAAGATGCCCAGGCAGAACTTAATAGCATTAGCATGTGATGGTCAACTTGACATACATAACATACAACTTGTCAACTTGACATACATAAATAATAGACAGCTTTTATTTGATAGGCTATTTTAATAAAACCATGCTCTATTCTTTTAAATTATAGAATGATAAATGCTGCTCAAAAATGTAATAAAAAAAACCTATCTTTTTTTCTATTCTTTTTGTATTCTTTTGTATTCTGTCATTGTATCTGGCAATGTATCTGACATGGCAGATGTTACTGCAGCCTGCAGATGGCAGTGTTCTCTCAATGAAGCCTCCAACCTATTTTTGATTATTATATCATGACTGACATAATGGTAATGATCAGGAGCCACTTTGATTGGTTCCCAATCATCTGTGAGAACCAGAGTTTCAGGTGATCATTTGAGAGCCACCAGCTGGGATATGCAGTGTTGAGAAATCAAGATTGCAGCTGGTGGTTCCCAAGGAGAAGACATTTAATAATGTACCCCCAGCACAATGTGTACAGACTGGGGGACAGAAAGAAATTAAAGTGACCCTGTATTTTCCTAATTTAATTCAAAGTAACAAGTTTGTGTTACCATTAAGGGGATTTTTTTCTTGTTTGACAGCCATCACATGGACAGGAAGTGAAGGGGAATCTCTCTCAACCAAGCAAGAATCCAATCCAGGTAGAGGTTCCAAACCTTTCTCACTCTGCTAGAAAATGTGTTGGTGTTGCCACTTCTGTCTCCTTCAGCCGTGATTTCCCCTCAGGTCCTGTTCTGTAATACAATTGTCAAACAGACAGGACGTAAGGGAATTTCCCTTCATTTCCTTTTGTGTCAGAACACCTGTCAAATAGACAGGAAGTGGGGAGAGAGAAGTTCTTCAACTCTCTATCCACAACTAAATACAAAAATACAGATGGATTAATAACAGAAGTCAACAAATGAGGATATTCCACAAATGTGTAATATAAGGCTACATGAATTATGAATGCTTTTAACAAGGTAATTTCCTCATTTAAATATTATTATTAATAATAATAATAAATAGTACATTGGAATGAACAGTGAATATTAGTCACTTTTTGTAATTCTTTTTTTTTATATATATACAATTTTGTAGCAAATAATAATACAAATAATATCAACTTCTGCAATGCCGACACACAAAGTCCAAGATATAAATGTAAAAAGTGATTTTACAGTTAAACCACAGACATAACTATTCCGATCATACAGTCCCATTAACCATCAGTGAGATGGTGCAGCAGTATACAGTTGTAGACACATAATAACCGACTAAAGGTGCCCATACACCTTACGATTAGCGTACGATACTCGCATGCAATCGACTTTTCGTACGACAATCGCAAGGTGTGAATGTAGTGCCCGAACGGCAATACTGTACAATCATACGACTTTTGACGGTCAAGCATGTTGGAAAACTTTGGTCGATCGTACGATTTTCGTGTGGTTGGTGGCGTTTCCGTCCGTCAAAAGTCATACGATTAACACTGCTCATGCGCAAACGAAAATACGTGCAGTATATTACCGCAATTCGTCCAGGTGTATTTTTTTAACTCGCGCTGATTGAACCTTGCAATAATCGGGGCAGGATGGGGCCGCCGTATGACAATCGTACTACAGTTCGATCATCAGACGAAAAGTTGTGTCCGATAATCGCAAGGTGTATGGGCACCATTACAATTATCTGCAGATTTTCTGTGATCAGATGGAAAAAGTGCAACAGATTGGCCCAGGCGGAGATTACTCCATCCACACAGTTAAGTGTGAAACATTTTTGTGTGAAAATCTGCAGATAATTGCAAGGTGTATGGCCAGCTTTAGATATAATGAAATGCATTTCAGTATCTTCACCATCTTGTGTGACTCAACAAATCTTTTGTACAATTTAGTAGATTGTAGAATCTGGTTGTTACAGGTGATCAGTATCAAGTAATTTTTTCAAAACACAGTATAAAGAAGAGTGCGACTACCTAAAAATGCTCAATGAGTGGATTAATAATGTGCAGCCTATTAGCTGAATGGTTGAAGTGGAAGTGGCAGAAGTGTGACTTACAGTTAGGAAGTCATCGGCGGGCATCCGGAGTCCATGCACTCACGTGGGGATGAAGAAGATGGTCTGTATACTGGCGATCTGGAGTGTCCAGGGCGTCCCCAGGGTATCCCCAGGGAACCGCGTCCTCGGCTGGCCAGGCCAAGCCGCGGCAACTGGAGCAGGGAACGAAGACTATGCCCGGCAGTTGTGTCCTGGTGTCCTGCACTGGAGAGTGTGGATCTGTGCGGTGTGCAGCTCAAATGCTGGGGAGTCAAAACGC